TCCAAACCCACTCTTTCTCTCTCTCTAGTTTTGTTCTCTATTGTTGAAAGGAAAGATGATGTGGCTGTGGTATGTACTTTTTTTTGCAGGGAAATTTGGGAGCTCTTTATTCAACACTAACAGCTCCAGCTGAATCAGCTGAGAGACTGGTTACAAGAAGACCCGGGAATCACTGATCCTCTTATAGCCGAGGCACTCGCTCTACGCGTTGGTGTTCTCTTTGCTCATCTACGAGGCTATTTTGAGGTGGTTTTCGAGTCTGATAATTTGGAGATTGTAAATCTCTGGAATACGCGTCACAATGTTCGTGCGGTTGTGGCGCCTATCTTGGCCAAGATTAGGGAGCATGTCATTTATTTTCAGTCTTTTGTAGTTCAGCATGTAGGGAGATCAGCTAATGTTTCGGCTCACATTTGTGCTAAACAAGCTAGCACCCTGGATGTAACCGAATGTTGGGTGGCTGTGGTATGTACTAGGGCAGGCAGGCAGTACGTAGCATCGCAATTTCCACATTACAAATGTACGTATGTACGTACGTAGTGCTATAGTAGACTACTAGTTGTACAGTTTCATCTTGCAAACTTTGCTGGTCTCGTAAAAACGGTCGAGAAAATACTACTATACACAGATGCATGCATGGTCGCCTCTCGGGACGTACGCGCGCGATCGAGGGATCGACTTTGACTTAGCAGATGACGCACGAGTTTGGGTTCTCCTCCATGCTCATGTTCCGCACGTAGTAGTGCTGCGGCGGCACGTACGGCGGCGGGTAGGCCGGCGGCGCCGGCCGGTACTGGTTCATCATGTAGTCCGCGTTGTACATGTAGGGCGGCGGCATGTGGTGCGGCAGCGGCATGTGGTGCGGGAACGGCAACGGGGCCACGGCGGCGGGCTTCTTCTGGTCGTCCTTCTTGCCATCGCCCTCCTCCTTCTTGTCGCCGTCCTTCTTCCCGTCGCCGTCCTTCTTGCCGTCACCCTCCTCCTTCTTGTCGCCGTCCTTCTTCCCGTCGCCCTCCTTCTTCCCGTCGCCCTCCTTCTTGGCGTCGCCGCCGTCGCCGCCTTCCTTCTTGGCCCCGTCTCCCTCCTTCTTGGCCTCCTCCTTCTTCTCCTCTTTCTTCTCGGGCTCCTTGGCCGGGCCGACGGACTCGATGTAGGCCGCCCAGCCCTTGCGCAGCTTGCTCACCACGTGCACCGGGTCCACCGTGCCGATCACCGTCATCTTGCGCGACGCCAGGTCCATGGATATGGCATCGATGCCTGGCGAAGTAAAACGGCATGGAACAGAGCAGAGCAGAGCCGTCGGCGTCAGTCAGTCATTCGATCGGTGGTCTTTGTCTAATGGATCTAGCAGAACAGAAGAGAGCAGAGCGTTGCGGGGTACGTACCGACGAGGACGGAGACGGCCTTCATGGCCTTCTGCTTGTCCTTGTTGTCATGGAGCTCCAGCTTCACCACGATCTTCTGCAGCAGAGCAAAACACGCCAGCATCGTTAGTTTACAGTCCGAAGCAGAGGAAGACGTTTGGATGCAGGCAGTGTATGACCGACACCAGAACAAAGTGCAGGTCCAGAGTAAAAGAGAGAAAAGCGTTCCCGGGATGGATTCTAAAGCAAGATCCCCCGAGCAAAGAGCGTGCATGTATGGAATCAGGATCGGAATTTCAGAATCCATGAAGAAGAAGCGTTTCTTGCTCACCTTGGCCGACATGCCTCCGGCCTGGGCTGCTCGCAGGGAAAGAGAAGGCGAGCGGGTAGACGATCAGAAGATGGATCAAATGGGGACAGGTGAGAATAATGGGAGCAGCTAGCTAAGTGAGGGTGTGTGGGAATGGTGCGGTACAGCCGGCCACGGGCAGCGGAGGGTGGAGGGGGTGCGTGCGGGAGTTAGGCGAGCGTGTCACGCAACTGCAGCAATGGCACATAAGAGGCAAAGGGAATTGGTGATCGCGGGTGGTCCTAAATACTAGCGGCGAGGAGAGGAGAGGAGAGGAGGGGCGATCGGCGGGCGGGCGGGCGGGCGCTTTGGTGGCTAGCTAGCCTAGGTAGCGTTGGTGCGAAGCACAGCCCCGGTGCCCTCTATATCTATCTATATCTGTCTGACGTGGATGTGTCTCTCTTCCTCACCGGCGGCCCTCGTACGTCCCCGCCTTTTGGTTTGGTGTGCGCCCACTGGCCAGCCGTGTGCGACTGCGCGCTCACAGTGCGCACAGTACAGGGTGAGTCGAGGCGATCAGGCGGGAATGCCGCGCTGCCGCTCTGCTGCCTGCTCCGATCTGGCGGCCCGTGTCCGCCCCACACGGCCGTGCCCCCCGATCATTCGAGCTCCTCTCCGGTTTCTCCCGCCATCGCGCCCATCCTCCTCCTCTGTTTGTGTTGCCGCTGCCTCCGGTCCGGTGTCCTCTGATTCTGATTCCCGGATGAATTCCTCCGAGACGAAACCAACTCGACTTGTCACGCGTCGAGTGTGTGCGCGCGCGTGCGTTGTGGGCTGGGCGTGACCGACCGGTGACGGGTCACGCTCGCTTTATCTTTCGTGAGAGGTCGATTCCCGGCGCTGTGTGCACGCCGGACCGCCGGTTCGTGTCTGCCTTGTGTTCCGGCTGGATGCTAGCGGGACGGGACGATTCGGGCCGTCTCGTTTTTGCGGATTCCGAGGTGATTCCAACGTATGATTCGAGCTGTTCCAGTAGCTAGTACGCTCGGTCGGTTCCGGACCGTGTATTATGCCCCGCACCACGCATGCTCCAGCCAAGGCGCGTGTGTATTGTATGTATGTAATGTTGCGTTCGTTGAAAACTTGCCGCCATTCCGAACGATGCATGTGGTTTGAGGATGAGAGCCAATCAGCGACTCCTTTTTGCGCTGTCACTGTCCTTTGTTCGGGGATCATGACGTACGCGCCACACCTGTCTTGGTTTCTTTATCATATGATAACGATAAAGAGTATATTAAAAACGATCAATAATGGCTCTTCGCCTGCTATATCATCAAAATCAACTTCATCTAAGTTCAGCATTAATAATTGGACGTGATATCAGAATCAGGCGACACCGCACCAAGTTCTTTCTCATTAAAAAAAAAGGAGTTCGAACTTGTAAGCTACAAGCTGCAGTAAGATGCCTGTAACGATCGGTTAAAGCCGCGATCAAGCACCGAAAACTGACCGTGCAGATGCATGAAAGGGTTTCGTACCAACTATATATTCTGTTTGTCATTGATTGAAAACGGTTTCTTATGACCACCGAGTTTATGTAGGTAGGATTACCAGTTACAAACTTGCAGCACACATTTCATTAGAATATAAAATATAGAATCATCTCTTGGTCCCGTGATTGGTGAGGAGTAACACTCCTAGTCCCGGTTTCCTTTGTTAGCTAAGAAGTTGTTCTCTTTCTCTTCTTTGCAGAGAACGAAGTTGTTCTTCTTTTCTTCCTAGATGTTATTGAGGATTAATCGCTGGCTACCATGTGGTAAGTAATCCAAACTATTTATGAAAAAAAAACTGTAGGCTATTTATACTGAACACAAAAAGTCAGATCATAGATTTCTACTAAATTATTACATTACATTTCATAGCTTTTTGTTTGCTCTCTCTTGTAATTTCAACTTGGATCTTGTACCAAAGTTGGTCTAAAATGAGCAACTTTGAAGAATACATTGTTGTTTCATGCACTCTTTCGATCACACACTAACTTTAACGAAACGGACAACCCGCTCCCGTTCTGCTATCGAGCGGCACCGGAGCACACCACCAGCCGCTTCCTCCTCCCCTTTTCGTCGCCGAACGAAAAAATCTGCATGGTGCCAACGAAGCCAGGGCACCTTTCTCGTGGCACATCGAGAATGGTTCTGCGCGGCGGCGATGCTCGGGGAGGCGGAGGTCTACCGAGGGCAGCTCCAGGCGATCATGGGCCATGTGGCAGTGGTGCTCAAGGGAGACGGAGGTCCGATGGGCGATGTGGCGGCCACGAGGTGTGGCGGTTCAACTCTGCGTCTAGAGCGCTCTGGTGCGGCCATGCGGGCTCAAGGGCTCCATGGAGGGGTTGTGGCTCCTCGGCGCGGCTTCTGAGGCTTCAACATGTGGCGCATGGTGGTGGATCTGCCCTTCTGCAGCCTCACATCATGATGGAAGTAGTGCGGTTGCAAGATATTATTGTCGGGGTAGTGGATGCGTGGGAATGTCGTGGTGGGCAGGTGTGCTGCCAGATTGGCTGTCGACCGGAGGAATTTGAGGTAAAACTGGTGAAAACCCCTTTCTCGCCGTGGCTGCACCCTGAGAGGGTGGTGCTCGTGGATGCCATAACCTCCCCAAAGGCATCGATCGGATGCTCTCTCTTTCTCTGCGAGGGACAACTATGGGTGCAAACCCAGTCCCCGAGAGTCGATACTTGGTGGTGTTGGCGTTGTTTCCCTCTTGAAGGCATCGATTGTGTAGTTTGATCCGATTAGAGAGGTCACTGGATTCGTTGGGAGATTGGGTACCACCGTGTCTTATGTGGCGACGATGACGACGACAAGTGGTGTTTGCTTCATGTCATGGTTTGACAGTCGGCTTTTCCGACATGTCCATTAGTCTCCTACCCTTGTGTGTTGCCTTGGAGTCGGAGCTGCTATGGCGAGGTCCGAGTGCCGACGGGGTGATACATGTTTGTCTATGGGGATCCTGTGCGGCACAATCCCTGCGTATTTTCGCCCTGTTGCTCGTCTTTGAAATCAATGTTCCTTACCAGTCGTGTGTGTGGTCGAATGTTTGGCATATGTCAGCGTGGACTTCGATAGTTGTTTCGGTCGCAATCTTGTGGGTGGATCGATGCAGCGAAGTCGGAGTTGCTTGCTTAGGGAAAGTGACGATGTTTACTCTTGTGGGAAGCCTCGACGGTGGTATTCCTCTCAATGATGTGTATGGAGTACATGTGGGTAGCCAGACAAGTTGTGGTGCCCCATGTTGTGAGGATGTGTTGTGATGGTTTTCTGCTAATTAACCATGAAATTCACTTCTTCCTAAGTAATGGATAAAGCCCTAACGGTTTTGGCTTTAAAAACACTAACTTTAGCAAATTACTCCATATCTTGTGTTTGCCGTCACGTTTTCCATTGCAGTAGGGTTTATCGGGACACAACAAAACCGATTCCATGTCTACAACGAAGTGCATTCATTTATATGAAGAATAATGGATCTTGTAAATAAGTTAATAAAAAACATGAAACATCTTTTTATGTACCAGGAGGCCGGTCGGTCCAATTTTATACTCAAATCGTCGTACAATTAGTTATCCATCAAAGAGAAAGTTTGCTTTGTATTGTCCTCTTATATTTTTTTATTCAGAATGCCATCATGGTGGTTTATATTGATTTAGGGAATATAGATACGCCGTCTGCTATAGCTAGAAACTAGGATGCTTTGTGATTTGTGAATGCCACGTGTCATCCATCAGGGTGGGTCTCACCCGAATTATATGAGACCTGATCTCATATAATTTTTTTCCGTCTGCTGTGCACACAATCGTTTTTTGTTTTGTTTTATTTTTCTTAGGTTTTCTCACATTTTTTTCTTCGGTTTCTTCGTGTATTGCACCATCTGTGTATGTGTACGGCACATGGAGTATATTTGCGTAGCACAGACTGGAGTATAGATCGCGCAACACGTGAAGCACAAGTTGCACCAAAGAGTATACATTAGACTGGGTGGGAGGAGAATACATATTGTACCATGTGTGGAGCACATATATAATTGCACTACCCAAGAAGCACAAGTTGTACTACATGAGAGTACACCACGATGTAGAGTACAAGTGTGCCGCTGGGGGAGCACAAGTTTGTTATCTTTCAGAGTACAAGAGTACACTGCGATGTTAAGTACAAGTGTGTTGCTGCGGGAAGCACAAGTTTGTTATCTTTCGGAGTACAAGTTGCGTCTGAAAAAAGTTCGCTGAAATCTATTAGCGTAAGGTCTACTTTCGTAGATCTCAACACGATGACCACAAAGATGAAAACGGTTCGTAAGTTAGACACGTGGTTTGAGAGATATTTTCATTTACAATTTAGATCGCATAAAGAACACTTAAAAAGCACCTCCTACCATCAAAACTCTATCATGGTGATTAGTGATTACTCCTTAATTGTGGAAAACTTTATTAGACTGCAAGGCATATGTAACTCCTGGCCGTACCATTATTGTAACAAATAGTCCATATTGGTTAGTTCGCATCCAACATACTATGCGTCATGTATGCATCGTCATTTCAGATAATAAAGATAAGGCATAGCTTTCTTATTTTGAGACAAAGATAAGCCATAGCTAAAACCAAATGTCCGTCTAGTTTTATGTGAAGGGATGAATGTTGCAATTTTCTTTTGGTTATCCAGAATAGGCCCATGCAGAATAATCAGCACACTGTTGGTGCAATCTTATAGTCCGGCGATACGCATATGCGTGGCGTGTCAGCTTCCTTTTCATAAAAGGCATGGGCGGTTATAGTCGTGACGTGTCTGCTTAGCTGCTACTCCTGGCTAGTTCTACTACTGGAGTCTGGATCACCTCCAGTGCATCACATTATCTTGTCGGACGGTCAATTAGAAGATTTTGAGATCTTTTCGATCTTGAGCCGGTTTGAATAGTAGTACGACGCTGAAGTAAAGCAGATGAAAAGGTGTATAAATGTGGCCTACAATATACACGGAGTACGTAGTTAAACAAGGATTTTATGT